GGCGGACTGTAGCTCAATATTGAAATTCATGTGCTAAGTAATAGCTCGACGGGCTGTCGTCGAGCGCGCGCGGCCGATTTTGCGCATTGACATAAGGCCAAAGCCGGAGACTTTATTACAGATTGTGAATCAGTTACCGGACCGCTACAAGCTTTGTATAGACCGAAAACCTCGAAACTTAAGCAAACTTTGGCGGGCCAAATGCTCTTGAAACTACTCGCTAGGATAGTGCAATAGTGACTTCGGTGTTGGTTTCATTGTAGTGCCGAGATAATGCTCGTTATCCCTTTTTTGGGAAGCCATGCGTCCAAAGAGGAACGCACGAAGCGCCCTTCAAGCGGCTTCCTTCTCTTACAACCCTCTCGATCCGAGTGTTTCACCACCATCGAGTTCGAGAAATTCCTGCTTCCACTAGGCCCACTATGCCAAAAGATTCCAACGTGTACAACGATGTTTACAATGACCAAATACTTGCAAAGGTTCCATCAAATGCACGGTTGAACCGTCCATTCCTATCCACGGGTCTCGTACCATCCATCCGGACCAATATTTCGATTGAGCCCAATCATAGGCCAAATAACCAAAGTAGTGAGAACCCTGTGAAGGATTCATTGTGCCGTTTCACGGGCATGAAGTTCCCACTTGACCCGTAGAGACATCACGCGCTCTACGTCATTGTACGTAGGAAGTTTCCGTACAGTTCTAGGGGTTGCTTGATGCGACCGCCCTTGCGATGTGTCTGCCCTTGTTGGGGGCCAACCAACAATCTGCTTGCTGCGTGTAGAGATCTTTTTGCAGCAACCAACTTTTTGTGTTCGTAATGCGTCCTTACTACAGCAGATTTTAGGCATCCTTTACGATTGGAGAAATAGCTTAGCTAAACCTCGCTAGGGTCTTGCAAGTTCGAAGCAAAACTCAACAACTTGTAGCTGACGTCAAACATTTGGTCACGTGTGCTCCTGGATTTACAGACTGTCAGATGGACGGACACGATTGAATCGACGAAGCAGGGTCGTGCTCGGATTGCTCCGTGTGTCAAACATGTCAAACCTGCTGAGGTCAGCTCAATTCTTGCCAAGGATGACGTCAAAACTTCATTAAACTTTAGCTAAACTTCAGCAAGCAAAACTTAGCTCAGCTAAACCGAAAATCGTAGCAGATGCCTAGAAAATGCTGTAAAGGTCTACAATAAAAGTGATATCCTAAAAAAAGAAGTGAGATCTGCTTGCGTCGGAATTCTCTGTATCGAGTCACGCCGCCAGATATCCCGCTCTCTTGTTTGAGCTCAGACATGCGACTTTGGGGTGGGAGTCGGGGATTCGCCCTTTCATCCCTGCAGCCGATTCGGCGGGGTGTCAGCGCGGTACCACCGCGGTATTAATCCGATGATTACCGTACGGAACTCTCAATTTTGAAAGTGGTACCACGATGGCTCCGGGTTGGAAGTACGGAGCCAGTACGGTGGGACCGAAGTGACAGTGCACTGGCTGCGTACCAAAAATTAGGGTTCCGAACAGGGAGCTTGGAGATCGCGAGCAAACATGGTTACCAAGCAGCAGAATCGTTCTCAAAGTTCACAAGAATGGCTGCCGTAGTCGAGTCCTATGCATTCATGCGGGTCTCCAAAAAGTTGCAAGGAGCATTGGATGACAATGGTGAACGTTGTGAAGCTCCTCTTTGTGCCGGAGAAAATCATCTGAGTTAAGTTTGTAAGCTACTCAATTTCAAATGCCACTCACTTGACGATTCTCAGCTTCCCCCATTTCATGCACAGAGCTGCATGGAGCTGGTAAGTTGGACATAGGGTATGATTTTGACCCTTCGATCTGAGTTGCTGAGTGGTAAAGGCTGCAAGCTGTTATTTCAAGCCATGACTCCTACTAAGCTGGGTACTTAGGTAGTGCGAAGCCACAAATTCTAAAGAGACCATGCATATATTGCATATATGACAGCTGCCAGCCTCTACATCAAAGACTTACAGCAAAGCTAACAATCTGCAGCAAGAAGAAAGGTGGTCGGAAGCTGAAGACAAGGCTGACAAGGGAGCTTTCGGTGAGTGAGCTGCCTGTACGGGTACTACCGACGTACCGTGGTACCTACACAACGATATTGAAAGGCATGCAGGCTGTATCGAGTATATCTGAGCATCTACATCAGTCGTAGATTGGCAAACACAGGGGCAACTCAACGGTTGCGATGCTTCTGGATGGGACCGTTCGGCGTAAGTCAAATTAGGTACCTTCAAAGCAAGTTCCGCAATGACGGTGCAAATGGTGGAGTACCGTACCTAGGTACACCTGATATTTTTACCGTGCCGTATTCGTACTACCGCGTAGGTATTAGGGTAAAACTAGGGCAAGTACCTATCACCGACTTAGAGTATTATGGACCGGCCCCCTGGGCACACTGACACACTGAAGTGACAAGTCCGTGCAGCAGCAGAGGGTAGCCTGCACGGGTGTCCGGGGGGCAACTTCTGAAGAGCCCATTCATCTGTGAAGAGGCAGCGTTTTTTGCGGGATTGCTTGCCAATACCGGGCAACTTCCGAGTACTTGCGCGCTGTTCGTCTGCTGGTACCGTACTGTCCATGTTAAACTTGTACCGTACCGTTCATGGTGCCACCGTGTACGCACCACGGACGCAACATGGTACCGGCGGGGTACCAGCGAGCTGGTACCGCGCCAAAGTGCGTGAAACTCCGTAGTCCAGGACCCCCGTACGTGACATGTGTCTCGCATGTTGGGGCTTTGACTGAGGCGTGTACTATAGTTCGGGTGCTGCATCTGATTAATCCAGCGTGCAAGATGATATACACAAAATTTCAAGTGTGCCAAGTTTACGTCTTTTTATTGAAGAGCACTCTTGTTCGCACCTGCCAATGTCACGCTCAATGCTATCAATCGCATCTATCTCCAGTAGCGCGTTGCGCTTTCTCATGCGGCGTGCCAGCCAAACATGGCAAGCGCGCAGCTCTACCGGTTGCGCGCTATAGCATTTGTTGCATGCGCGCATTGGTCCTCGATTCTACCCGCGCTTGCACTTGCGCTGTATAGGCGTATTTTGCATAGCCAAAAATACTGTCACTTACAACGTGCAGCCGTTCAATTTAGCACTTGACAATCACTTGAGACCGTCCGCTTAGCATGGTCTATAGAGAAATCTCTAGTTGCAACTTGGTCGAGCTTATATGGCAAAATATCGTTATCAAGACACCGATCCTTTGCCCATCGCGGATGGTCGACTCGTCGGCACGAACTTGTGCGTTATGTCAGTTGACCATCTTACATTGAGATTGGATCTTTCGACTCGATAGTCGCAGATCCATTGCTGTGCTCAAATTACCTGTGTGCCAGGTGTTGCAATAGCGGATATTCCATTAAATGAAAACTTAGTAGGTCATTCATTTGTAGTGCGACGTTGCATTCGTTAGACTCATTCGACCTGTTGAAAGCAAGCACCTTTCGAGTAAGCACAAACAGGAGAAATAAGTACACACAACCTAAGATTGTTCAAAGTCATGGCTAGATTGCGGATTTAGCTACCCCCTACAGCGGAGTCCGACCCTCCCTACTAATCCACGGCCAATATGAGTCGAAGTCCGATCTACGGTTTACCAGAAATGCTTCCACTTTTAATTGGAACCATTTTAACTAGTCTTCTTATCCCGTCAATTCCAATCTGACGGCTTACTCGATTTGATAAACCGGATTCGGACACTTGCATCCGAGACCATCAATACCCAATCAAACAATCACTTCAAATCCGTGCCGCCGCTTGTTACGATTCGGTCATTACATGGTCGACCGAATTACATTGTAATGGGGGTACGACCTATATACAATTTGAAGTAGTAAACGCCAGTATGCGCGTGCACGACGGTTAGACGGTTAAACCTTTAGGCGGTTCTAGAGGTCAGGCGGTTGAGAGGACCGTCAGTGCAAGCCATAAATGAGGATATCGAAGGCTACATTGAGTGTATTGTGAGCTAGGCTAGTGAGCCTAGTAGTGTGTGACTTAGGCTTGTGAGCCTAGTTGTATCGGTACGACATATGGTGGTGGAAACTACTAATGTGATACATAAAATCAAGAGAAGTTTGTGGAGAGAAAGAAGCCGCTTGTGAGGCGCTTCCTTTGTCCTCTTAGGATGCATGGCTACCATTAATGAGTGATGAGCATGGGTGCCGGGCAACACGATCCGCGAAGAGTAAATCAAGTATACCACGACTCCCTCACGATAAGTTTCAACAGGTTATGTGCCTATAGCATTTGGGTGTGAAGAGGGCGCTGTTGAAAGCAAGCGCCTTTCAAGTGCACAACTACTAGTCCCGAATGAATGCGGTTCTTTTGATACATGAGTCCGAATCTTATAGCCTAGCTCAAGCCTAGCTATTACCCTAGGTGTTTCTGTTGAAACACGGCGTTGTTGGGAATGAATGACTGAATGATCAAGGTCACACAATGCATGTCGAGTGTTTGGAGTCTAGCGGCGCTAAAGCTATGCAGTCTGTGTGCTATGCTAGACTCGCTTAAATAGAGTCACACTCCTAGTCTGGGTCTACACTGATAGCCTAATAGGCTCAGTTGACCGGGTAAGCAAGTCCGAAAATTTTGCGCAAATCTCTGAATATCTACGGCTATTATCGAACTTACTCATTACGGCGGTGATCTCAATAAGTTATTCGGGTGTAACGCTGTAACCCGTGCGCATGTAATCGCCAACCGCTAACAACCGGTTATCATCGAACTCCCGTTCAAGAGATCGGTTTTAGGATCACGACGACGACGGTAACTCGTTGACAACCGGTTATCATCGAACTCCCGTTCAAGAGATTGGTTTTAGGATCACGACGACGACGGTAACTCGTTGGTAACTTGTAGCAATGGTTACATGGTTAAATGCGCACGGGTTACAGCATACACCCGAATGACTTGGCGATAACACCGTCGATATTTTGTAGGTTCGATGATAGCCGTCGATGTACGGTATAGAGTGAAATTTTCGGACTTACTAGGTGACGGTCCACTGAGCCTACAAGGCTGGAGTGTAGACCTAGACATAGGCCGTGACTCGGAACACTCCTATACATTGTGTGAACTCGATTTATTGAATATCACTTCCAACAACGCTGTGTTTCAACACTTCTCAAACGCACCTTGTACGGGTTGCGCCAAGCGCCGCGTGAATGGCACACGCGCTTGAATGAGGAGCTCGAAAACTTTGAGTTCGTGACGTTTTTGACGGATGCGGCGCTCTTTTCGGAAGTGGTGGACGGGGAGCGGGTTTACCTCATTGTGTGGGTGGACGGCATTCTCGTCGCGGCACGGGGGGCGGAGCGGATTGCGAAGGCGAAGGCGCACTTGGCGGAGAAGATCGACGTCCGCGATTTGGGGGAGGCGACCTACTTCCTCCGGATGGAGTGTTAAGTTTTAACGCGCTGCCACTCGGGCTACACTGGCGCCAGTGTAGCCGGAGTGGCAGCGCGTTAAAACCTAATAAAATGTGGATACCGGATTCTCCGGCTCTCTCCATCCCCTCAGGCGTCGTCTCATTACGACCCATCAGTAACTGGCGCCCCCCCTCAGGCATTCCGTTTTACGGGCCACACGAGGCAACCTTTTTGCGCGGTCAGCCGTCAAACTTGTTTCCCCTGGAATCCGAACCCAGGTCACTCGGCCCACTCGGCCGCCCGGTGACGTCACCGTGACGTCATCCCGGTTCTTACGTTTTAACGCGCTGCCACTCGGGCTACATTGGCGCCAGTGTAGCCCGAGTGGCAGCGCATTAAAACTTGACATGGAGTTGGCGCGCAACCGGGAGGCGCGTACTTTGAAGACACACAAAAGAAGGTCACAGGGGGGCTTCTTGGGCGGCACGGTTTGCGGGCGCACGGACGGTCTCGGTCGTCCTTGGGGCGGGGGAGAAGTTGACGCAAGAGGGTGAGCCGCTAGACACGGCGAGGCTCCCTCATAACGAGCTCATTGGAAGATTGTTGTACTTGAGCGTGTGCACGCGGCCCGACATTGTCCAAGCCGTGGGTTCTTTGGTGCGCACTACGAGTGCGCCAACGGAGGCGCATTGGGCGGCGGCGCTTGGGGTGGTTCGCTACTTGGCGGGGACGGAGGAAGCCGGAATAACGTTCGGGGGGAGCGGCGAGGTCTTCGAACTGCTTTGCAACGATTATGCGGGGGATATTGACACAAAGCGTTCTACAACGGGGTACGTCTTGTTAATGTACGTGGGAGCGGTAAGTTGGTCGAGCCCTCTTCAACCAACGGTGGCGGTCTCGACGGTAGAGGCGGAGTATATGAGCGCGGAAACGCCGTGAAAGAGGCGTTGTGGTTCCGCAAACTCGGGGATGATCTCGTGTTGGATCTTGGAACGGTCCTAATTCATTGCGACAATCAAGGGGCAATACGGCTCCTCAAGCATCCGATCGCTTCGCAACAATCGAAGCACATCGACGTGATTCACCACTTTGCGCGGGAGGAGATCGAGTTCACGTATTGCAAGACGGAGGACATGAAGGCGGACATCTTGACCAAAGCGTTGGCACCCGGAAAGTTCTTGAAGTGCAAGAAGATGTAAATTGCATAGGATACTTGGTGCGTGGGGGAGAACCTTCCTCTGATACCATTGTTAGATTTTATTGCGCTGCCACTCGGGCTATAGTGGCGCCAATGTAGACCAAGTGGCAGCGAGATAAAACCGAACAAGCGCAAGCTTTCAAATATGGTTGTCCGAAGGGCGATATTTGAACGCTCGCGCCGCTGAGTGTGTAAATATGAGAAATGGAGGATTTGACTTGATTGTGTTCAAGGGAAGATGTAGTTGAGATGGCGAAGACAAAGTGTCGATCCCGCTACTTTGTGGTGACTCAACTGGTCAACGTGGAAGGCCAAGTTCCGAGGGCTTCTAGCATACAAGAGACTGTTGTGTGCATTAGAGGAGCCAAAGTCCTCGGAAAGGAAAGAGTTCAGCCAAGCAAGGGGGCTGATGCTGATTCACACGGAAGATGTGTAAGTGAAGTTGATTGAGGGTGAACCCACGAAAAGCGTGAAAGAAGTTGGGAGGACCGTCTTTGATAAGAGGAGCGATGCGCGCATGATTCAGCTAGAAGAAAGCTGACGGGTCTAAGTTTGACAAAGCGGAAAGCCATTGCAGAATACCAAGGAGAAGCCCGGGAGCTCTAGCTAGATTTGGAGGCGGCAGGACAAATTGTCACAGAGGGTGAGCTGGCCGTGCGAGCTTTAAAAGGTTTGCTAGGGGATGTATGCCATCGTTTTGGAATTTCTGGAGCTCGGAGAAAAATAGCTAACCCTCGATAAGATCCAGCCGAAGCTAATGCAAAAAAGAGCAGAACCTAAAGCTGAGAGCTGACGCGGGGTCCTTGAAGGGGATTTTAGGTGAAAATGAAGCGGTGGCGGCGTAAAGTGGCTATTAAGCTCAGAGAAGGGCCCTGGAAGCTCATACGAGCTGGAAAGAAGCTTGGAAGTGGGAGGCGGGAGCTCAAACCCGCCAACGTGCTGTTGTTGTGGCAAAGCACTTGGGTCACATGAAGGCAAAGTGCAGGTTCCGCGTAACAGAGTGTCGCAAGTGCGGCAGGAGAGACCACACAGAAGCCTTGTGTAGGCAGAGCGCGCGCGCAAGTAGCCGTGCGAAGGGGCGAGAGTTTGCGGCGGTGCAAACGGAGTGGCTTTTACGGTGTAGGGCCACAATGAGGATGTGTGCAAAGGGGTGTGGATTGTCGAGTTGAGCAGCACCACATATCACGTACGCGGGTTCCAGACCGTGCAGTTTCATGGAGTACTGCGTGGTAGTAACGCGAAAGAACTGCACTAGTAGTAAGCCAACCCTGGTCCATGTATAGTATCGCCGTGCACCGTGTTCGCAAACCGCAAATTTCCGCTCGTCGGGACCGCACTCCTTCCAATGAAAGCAGTTCACAGACCCGTAAAGTCCCCGTGTTGGTTGCACAGAAGTTGCTTGAAACTTTGTACAACTCCGCGAATTCCGTAGGTTCTTTGGAGAAATTCTGGCTCTGCGGAGCCAGAGGTGTCCCCGGCCCAGGAAAATCTTACTTCCCTAGCGTTTTGTGACTCTGATCAGTAGACAAGAAGTGCTCGGTCAAAAGAACCACCACTTGGCCAGATACTGGTTGCGGTAGAAGCGTACCCACGGTAACGAAAGCAGGTACCTAGTTACCCTACTCAGGCACTACCGTACCTTAAGGTACCTGGATCCGGAGCCGACAGTACGGCCTTGGTACCTACGGTCCCGATACCCATCTTGGTATCGTACACCGAGCAAGCCAGGCAGATACCTATCAGGTACCTAGATAGGTAGATAGGTATAGATCGGTACAGATTGCCAGTGGCCACTAGCGAAACAACCTGACATATATATATTATATTAGAACCTATTTACTACGGTAGTCGAGTGCCCATACCGAACCTACCATTCACCAAAGGTACGATATAAGTTTGAAATGCGTGACAGCGGACCATTGAGGCCTGTCGGGACCTAGCTACCATTCAATGCTTCAAAGGGTCTGCTTATGTGCGGCTCGCGTGGATGCTCCAGAAACCGCAATACCTAGGTTACTAGGTAGGTACAGTAGGTTGTACATCTTGCACATCCAGCTGGAGAGCAAGGACTGCTGAGAAGCTGGACGTGATTGTATGTCTGCGCTCAGATAGCCCCATCAGAATGATAAGCTGATAGATCTTACAGAGCAACTCCATGCAACTTTCAGTAAAAAATAGAGAAGCTCCAGAATTGTCGTAAGCGGCCTTCAGAATTGACTTGCTGAAAAGACACCTCGAAAGATTTTCTCGAGCCCCAAGAAAGACTTCTTTGCATTCAGTATTGTCAACCAATGCTGCTTGCACTTTCTTGAAAACCATGTCTGCTCGTCAACTCCAAGCTCGTTGGTATTTGATTATAGAGTTAGACGAAGATAATCAAGGGCTCACGTTCAACGGAGCCAAATTACGTGCAAGCAGATTGCTCTCGCCCCACGTGTCCCTTTTTCAGGTACCGGTACGAAATCCCATGCGTATTGCGCCAGCGCACCATGGCACGTAATGTCTGCCGGGACAGCTTACGCGATGACGCGCCAACGTCTAGCCAATGCATGGAGGCGCGGATCGCTACCCAATCAGCAGCGGCGACGCAGTGCTCAAGACCAGTGCAGTCACCTAGTGTAGTTGCTAGGTTTCAAGTAGGGAGATCGCCAGAAACCTAGCTCATTCTCAAACTCTGCTTACAAGTTGAATTTAACTTGAGCATAGAGATTGTTTTCTCGTTCCGTTGTCACCATGGCCGAAATTCCACGCCCGGACATCTCCCCTACAGACTTCCAGGTGGGAGACGAGGTCTTGGACTATGGGTTTGACAACCCGGACGAGATCGAAGTTCCGGTTGTACGTATGCCGGGGGCGGCCCTCATCCTGGTGGGAGACCAGCAGGAGCTTCGTACCCCTGACGCGCCCATCAGGCATGTCGGGGAGGTCGCAGAACCCACTCTTCCCACCTGGGGGGGGCCCGTCGGTTGCGCCCCGATGCCCCGGTCTTCCAAATTGGTGAGACCGATTCCACTGGCCCTGCCCAGAAGTTACAGCTGCCATGATGCATGCTGATGGAGGGCAGGCCACGATTTCTCGCGGGGGCGTTTCATTTGATTCACGGATGCCAAGCCTTGGGGCCCCTCGTAGAAATTCTTGACCCCCCCACGTTTCTGTAGAGGACCCTTCGATGACACTTCAGTTAGCCCAGGCACGGGCCGAGCGTGCGTCCAAGGACGTCGAGCTTCGCCATCTTAGGGGGGTAGTTCAGCGCCAGAGCATTTCTGGACCGCCACCCCCCCCGTGCAGCCTGTTTGGGAGCCCCAGGATGGGCCCCCTGTTTCTCGCCCCTCCGATTTTGACCGGCTCGACCCTCGGCCCTCAG